CCCCCCCAAGATACTTAAGAAAAAAACACGGCGTTCGTTAAGTGAATGGTCATTCACGAAAACCATTTAAATGTTACGTTTGAAATTAAATTCATTTTAACGCTAGATTTTTAAACCTAAGTTAAAGGTAAAGGTTCCACTCGCACATATGTGCTAGTCGTTCCCGGCTCTAGGGGGCAGTGCTCATCTCCTTTTAAAGCCGAAGAGCCAGCGCTGTCCGAAGACGTCTCCGTGGTCATGTGGCTGGCATGACTCAACGCCGAAGGCGCACGGAACGGTGTTACCTTCCCACCAAAGGTGGTTCCTATTTTTCTACTTGCATTTTTATGTGCTTTCGAANAGCTTGGAAGAAACAAAGGAAGGAAGGATAGTTAGGAAGGGAAGGAGGGAGGAGAGATAGCTAGGTAGGAAGGAAGAAAGGAAGGAGAGATAGCTTGGAAGGAAGGAAGGAAGGAAGGAAGGAAGGAAGGAAGGATATAATGAGAGTGAGGGAGGGTCAGAGGGAGGGCCCCTTGAGGTCAAACACAGCCTGGATGAGGCCTTCAATGAAATTTGAATTTGACACCCTTGTGCTGCATGATAGGAATCTTAAACCATTTTTTAATCTTTCCTACATTGGGGGGAAAAGAATGAAAACTTTCCACAGGAAAAACAAAGGTTTCCACAGGAAAGAACTGACCTGATTTTATTAAACATCAAGGCTCTAGACCTCATCATTGAAAGACTTTCTCGACTTATATCTCTGATCTCTCCTTGACAACACCATTCCTACGGTTTTTGTGGGATGGGAGGCGTTTGGCAAAGATGGGAGAGTTGAGTTTGGCCCAAACTTGTATATCATTCTATTTTAATTTGAAGGAAAATTAGATTAAATGCCAGTTCCTCGGGCCCTTCAAAATTCCTTGCTTTTAAAAAGCAACTATAAATTGGAAGAAGACTTTTAGAAAGCCAATGACAGAACATTGAGAGGTTAACAAGGAATACCCCACACGCATTAGTTGTATTTCTTGTGGCTAGAATATTTGGGCTGTGGAAAAGAAAAGAAAAAAGAAAAGAAAAAAGAAAAGAGAAAAAAGAAAAAAGAAAGGAAAAGAAAAAAGAAAAGAAAAAAAGAAAAGTGAAAGATTTATACAATCTGAAAAGAAACCAGTGTATAAACTGGTTTCTCTTCAGATCGTATAAAGAAAAAAGAAAACAAAAAAGAAAAATAAAGGAAGGAAGGAAGAAGAGAAAAAAAGAAAGAAAGAAAGAGGGGAAAAAAGGAACAAAGGAGGAAAAGAAAAGAATGGAAGAGGAAGAGGAAAGAATAAGGAAGAGGAAGGAAAAAAGATAAGAAAAAAGGAGGAAGGAAGGAAGGAAGGAAGGAAGGAAGGGGAAAGAAAGGAGAAATAAGGAAAGAAAGGAAAGCAAAGGAGAAGAGAAAGGAGGGATAAGAAAAGAAAGGAGAGAAAGAAAGGATAAAAGAGAGAAAGAAAAAGAAAAGGAGAGAGGAAGGAAGGGTAGAGAAAGGCGAGAGAGAGAAAGAAGAAAATAAGGAAGAACGAACATACAGAAAGAAGGAAACAAGAGAAAGAAAGAAGGAAAGGAAGAGCGTAGGAAGAAAGACAAAAGAAAAAGAATGACGCCAACTTACATACGCTCTTTGATATCTAGATCTCTGACTAATTCATCACGCTGATTCACCAGTGAGACCAGTTCTGCCAGGAGGAGTTTCTCCTGTTGCCGCTGGGCTTCTGTTTTAAGCGAGTCTGCGGAGCAGAAAAAAACAGGCTTTCCATCAAGTTGTTCTTTAAGTAGATTTCCTGGCTGCCTTTCCCAATTGATTCGGGAAGAATATACAAACAGCGGAGTAACTTATTTTTTTCAATTCAGAATAGAGCTGGAAGGGACCTCGGAGGTCTTCTAGTCCAGCCCCCTGCTCAGGCAGGAGACCCTATACCACCTGAGACAAATGGTTGTCCAATCTCCACTTAAAAACCTCCAGAGATGGAGGCAAGTTGTTCCGGATATAATTTACTTTTTGGACTTCAAGAAGGCATTCGATAAAGTAGACCACGACCTTCCAAGTTGATAAGATAGAAAAAGTTGAGTTAAACAGCGCCACCACCTGGTGGATTCTAGTCCAACCTCCTGCTCAAGCAGCACACCGTTCTCTCCTCTTCAGAATAATAGACTTGGAAGGGACCTTGGAGGTCTTCTAGTCCAACCCCCTGCTCAAACAGGAGACCTTGCTTTCCTTCTCCTCCTTTTCCTCCTCAGAATAATACACTTGGAAGGGACTTTAGAGGTCTTCTAGTCCAACCCCCTGCTCAAGCAGGAGACCTTTCTCTCCTCCTCTNACAACGACAACCCTGTGAGGTGGGGTGGGCTGAGACAGAAAGAGGGACTGACGCAAAATCACCCAGCTGGATTTCATGGCTAAAGCAGGACTAGAACTCACAGTCTCCTGGTGATTGGCGAAAGTCACCCAACTGGCTTGGATGCCTAAAGCAGGACTAGAACTCCCAGTCTCCTGGTGATTGGCCAAAAGTCACTCTGCTGGCTTGGATGCCTAAAGCGGAACTAGAACTCCCAGTCTCCTGGTGATTGGCCCAAAGTCACTCAACTGGCTTTCATGGCTAAGGCAGGACTAAAATTCACATCCCCCACTTTCTAGTCTCGTGCTTTTACTCCTGGGCCAAACTCTTACTCTCTCTCCCCCCCCCCGCCCCCCCAAATCATCTACTCTCCCCTCATTCTGCCTCTTACTGGAATTTCTTCTTCGTGGTGGCTGTTTTTCATTTCAGAGTCGAGAGTTTGCTCCCGGTAAGGAATGACGGGAGAGGCTGCAAAGAAGAAAGCAAAAATTAGCCTTGGCAATTTTTACTAGTATATCCCATGTGTTCCCCTTGTGAATCTCATGACACAGACCCGTTTTCCTAGGCCCGTGATGGCGAATCCATGGCACCTGTGGCACGCGGAACCGTTTGTTAGGGCACGCGAGACCTTGCCCTGTCAGCTCCAGCGCGCATGCGCTGGCCAGCTGACTTTGGCCTTCTTTTAAGGCCGTTTTTCGCCCTCCAGCGCGCAAAAAAACGCCCCTACGGGCAAACTAGAACTTCAGGAAGAGACTCCTGATTTGCTCGTAGGGCCGTTTTTGGCCCTCCGGAGGCTTCCCTGAAGCCTCCGGAGGGCCAAAAACGGCCCTATGAGCAAACTGGAAGTCACCGTTCCTAAACTTCCAGGTTGCCCGTAGAGCCATTTTTCGCCCTCGGGAAGCTACTGAAGTTTCCGGAAGGCTTCCCAGGAAGCAGGGGAGGCTGTTTTCACCCTCCCCAGGCTCCTAGAAAGCCTCTGGAGCCTGGGGAGGGCGAAAAAAGCANCTTTTGTTTCCTCTGGGAGGGGCCAATCACCTCCAAGGTGTGGCTTTACTCCCAAGTTGACCCTGCTTTCTGAGCTGTTCTTGTCTTCTGGCTGCCCTGCGCATGCACACACTGGGAACAGGCTCCAGCTGTTCCTCTGCCTCGCTGCTGTCTAGCTCCCTCTCTGCCTCCGACGCAGAGCCCTCGAGTGAGCGTTCCCCTGCCCCCAGGACTGGCCCATGTTCCTCCCCAACCTCCTCACTGTCCGACTCTGCTGCCAATTTTGCTGGCCGCAAACAAGGCTCAATTCCAGGAGGATCACACAAAATCGGGGTGCAATGCATGTGGGGGAGGCTTCAAGGAATGGACAAAATGGGGGTGTCCCATTTAAAGATCCACCCCCCAAACCACGCAAAGGAAACAAAGATACCATAATGTCTTGGGTTTTAATCTTAACAGCAAGTAGATTTAATTCCTTGTTTTACAGTCATTCCTTTGAATAACAGCTCAACGTTTATTTCCAGTTATGGTGAGCCTTGGGGAAAGTGACTTGTAACTGGTCCTCGCACCAGCGGCCACTGCATCACCTCCGTGGTACCTTGATTGCAATTCGGGTGCTTGGCCACTGACCGGCATTGATAAAGAGTCTTGTAGCCAATTATGTAATTACGATTTGTAAAAGTTAACGGGGGGATCTGGATTCACTCAGCAAATGCGGGGATTAGACGAACGATTGTGTATTTCATTTAGTGACGGCATGATTCACTTGGTGACCATAGTAAAAATGCTCGTAAATGAGATCCACTTGCGGGATGGCCATTTTGCGAATGCACTAAATTACGGCAGAAATTACCGCCCTGATTACGGTCGTATGCCGAGAACTGCAGGTCGTCCTTTGACTTATGATCACAATTGACCCCCCCCCCCCCGGATTTCTGTGGCTACGTGAAATGTTTGTTAAGTGGGTTTTGCCGCTGAATGCGTGTTACAAGTTTTCTTGCCACGGTTGTTAAGTGAATCACAACGTCATGCGGTTGTTAAGCGAATCGGGTTTCCCCGTTGATGCTGCTTGGGAGAAGCTCTCAGAAGGGGATTACGTGGTCCTGGGATGCTGCAGCCATCATAAATATGGGCCCATTGTCAAGCATTTGAATTTTCATCAGGTGACCATTGGGATGCCACAACAGCTGTTAAGTGTGAAAAATGGTCGTAAGTCACTTTTGCCAGGGCTGTTGTAACTATGAACAGTCACTAAATCAACTGTTGTAAGTCAAGCACTACCTGTATCGTCTTCTTTTAGCGACGTCATGTCCTGCGGGGTGGGCTCTGGGCAACCGAATGGAGCTGAGCGTTTTACTGGCCAGATGCTCTCCCCGTTGCCAGTGCGGAGTTTTGTTCAGCAGATACATATCTCATTGTGCCCAGAGAGAGAAATATCTGCCTCTACCTTGGATCCAACTCACAGTTTCCTGATTGTGAGGCCCCATAATCCCTTGTGGGGTGGACTCTGGGCAACTGAATGGAGCTGAGCATTTTACTGGCCAGATTCCCTCCCCGTTGCCAGTGCGGAGTTTTCTTCAGCAGATACACCGCACCACTGCAAGAACTACCTGTATATAGAAGTGTAACTGAACGGTGCTTGTTCTTTCTCCTACTCACAACAGCTGTAGCTGGTCCTGTCGTCGGATCAGGGCGTTCTTCTTATTGACCAGGGTGAACCATTCCTGGATCAGTTCTTCCTCCTTCAATTTATCTGCACCTAATAGGGAAAACAAGGAGTGACTGAATGGGTGCCCAATGGCTTCTAGTGCCTGACCCCATCGGTCTGCCTGAACCGCTCGGCATCTAACTTCAACCCCTGCAGAGAAGATCACTTGAGTTACTCCTCCACTTATGACCACAATTGAGCCCAAAATATATGTTGCTAAGCGAGACAGCTGCTAACGGGAGTTTTGCCCCATTTTACGACTTTCCTTGCCACCGTTTTTAGGAGAATCACTGCAGATCTTTAAGTTGGTGACACGGTTGTTAAGTGGAACTGGTTTCCCCGTCGGGACTTGGCTTGTCAGATGGACGCGAATGGGGATTATAGCAATAGCAGTTCGACTTATATACCGCTTCATAGGGCTTTCAGCCCTCTCTAAGCGGTTTACAGAGTCAGCATATCGCCCCCAACAACAA